AGCTGGTGGCGGGGGGGGGGGGGGGGGGGGCGCAGAAGAAAAAGTTTGGGAACCACTGAATTAGTCTATGAAGAATTCACTGCAGCCGTTCTATCCGACCCTCTGGCATCACTGGAAGTGGTCACCCCAGGCCCTTTAGACGTTGTAGGTTTATTCCATGGCTCATAGTGACGGGATCAACCGAGCCCTCTGGCCACAGCTCTTGGTTATACACTTCTGCAATGTTTTCACACTCCACACTGACTTTAAAAGAACTATATCTGGTGTTCCTAGTGACAATACGCCGGCACTAAGGTTAGTCGCCCTTGTTTCACCACCAAGTTCCATGTGGGTGAACTCATAGGCGCATTTGCAGTACAGTTTCGGTTATCACTCACCGCAACAGACTCGACAGTAGTCCTGGAACAGTTGGTGTAGGTCCCATTCACGGCCAAAGCGGCATTATCAGCGGTAACACAGTTTGTTGGAGCAGAAATCATGCAAGTCGCCACCTCCTCGGAGATGTCCACAGCCAATATCATGTCAGTAGCGTTGGATATTCCTGGAGCATACGTATCCACATTGCTATATCCTCCACTCCCGGGCACCATATGTCGTTCCACTGCCGTAACTCTGGAGTCAATGGTAGTGGTAACCTCACGCAACTTCTCCTCATTGTCCACTTGACGTGACACAGTATGCTTCAAGGCACAAACTTGCTGTGTAAACGCTCCGTCTTGCTAAGTAAGTTGGAGACATCCAGATTGTTGAATGTCACAGGCGGCAGCTCATCCGGAAGTGGGAGACAAAGTGTGGTATAGCTTCCCCACACTCATTCAGAACTTTTAAACAGCTTTTAATGGCATTTGCAGCTTTCTGATTTCCTTCGAAGGCCACGTACCACTGTTTAGAATTGGAACACAGTTCAAACAGTACTTTTCTAGAGGACTCAATCCACTCAAAGTCGAACATGTTTGACGCAAGCAGCACAAGCTCGTCTTGGCACATAGTCTTTATTTTGACCACAAGAAAGTTTAAAAACTCATCCTCTACTATAAGCTTCCCATCAGTAGTCTTGTGGATGTGCGGTTTAGTTCGGGGGCGACTGGAGAAGGGAGCTCCCGCAGCTCCTATGCCTGACTCCTATCCGCCATCTTGACTTTCTCACTTCTCAGATGAGTCACGATTTGAAGTTCTTAATGGAACAGTGTGACGGCATGTCATCCGGACCGGAGAGGACAAGGAAGCCCAAGTTGTTATCAATGCACCCTTCAGAAGCCTGCATCACTGATTATAAGTACGGCAAGCTCTTACTAGTCTAGCCCCTCAAAACTCTTTCGGACGTGACACGTTTCTTCTAGAAAAAGTCTTTACTGAACTCAAAAGGAAATAAAAATAACAGATTCAAAAACAAATAGAAAGTGACAGTCAAAAGACTGTGCTCTTCTAAAGGTGCCAGATTTCTACAAAGAGCAAACGCTCTCATCTTTCCTAAACTAATTAGACAAACAACCAATCAAAAGGCATCACGCAACAAAGTCAAGCACAATACAACATTCTGTATGAAGTTTCAAAAATGTATGTATGGCTCCTACAATGATGGTATGGGGTTGCATGAGTGCTTGTGGCATGAGCAGCTTGCATGTCTGGAAAGGCACCATTAATGCAGAAAACCATGTTCAGGTTCTAGAACAACATATGCTCCCATCTAGACGTCATTTCTTCCAGGGAACACCCTGCATTTTTCAACAAGATAATGCCAGACCACATTCTGCAGCAATCACAACATCATGGCTACGTAGGAGAATGATCCAGATACTGAAATGGCCAGCCTGCAGTCCAGATCTTTCACCTATAGAGAACATTTGGCGCATCATAAAGAGGAAGATGCGACAAAGAAGGCCCAAAACGATTGAACAGTTAAGAAGTCTGTATTAGACATGAATGGGAGAGCATTCCTATTTCTAAACTTGAGAAACTGGTCTCCTCTGTCCCCAGACGTTTGAGTGTTGTAAGAAGGGGAGATGCCACACAGTGGTAAAAATGGCCTTGTCCCAACTTTTTTGGGATTTGTTGATGCCATGAAAGTTTGAAACAACATATTTTCCTTTAAAATGATACATTCTCTCAGTTTAAGCTTTTGATCTGTGATTTGTGTTCTATTCTGAATAAAATATTAGATGTTGGCACCTCCACATCATTGGATTCAGTTTTTATTCACAATTTGTTTGTGTCTCAACTTTTTTGGAATCTGGTTTGTACATTAAACATGTTTGATGTAGCTTTCTACAGATTAACAAGCTCAGGGAAATGTCATGTTTTGTTCGGTCCTTTACAAGTAAAGGATTTTATACATATTTCATTAAGATAAGTTCAATTATTTTAGAGATCCGTATGTGATGAAAGTTACTGGTACATTTATTTTTGTTTAAAATAAAAATAGAGGATTTTAGCGTAGACCTTTTAAAAACCTTATACATTTTTTGACTACAGTAGCTTGTATTACAGCCTCAAACTTTAACTTATTTTCTTTGGATTTATGTATATTTGTATTTAGCCTCCTTTTGGGAATGTCTCCACCAGACTTGGGATTGTCATCATAAAATAAATCAAACTCAATCTGTGGACACAGTGTCTGTAAACAGATCTGGATTCTGACAAAAGTCCAATTCTGTTCTCATTTGTCCATTTATTCCTGCAGGTATGTATCAAAATCCCTGTAGAAAGAGTCCTTTTTGCTGCGAGGCAATGATCAATGGCACAAAAAGTGAATATGCATGATGTGCTATAGGGGTGCTACGCTAGAGGGGGCACCAAACAATGGTATAAAAAATGACTATAGTGGGTATTTCTGTATTTCACAGCTGTTTGCTTATACCTAAATGATGCGATCCGCATATAATTGATCTCAGGAAGGTCAAAGTAGAGTTCCTGGCAATGAAGATACCATACGTGTCACTGCGTATCCCTATTTTGAAAATCATTTATTGTTTTCCTTCCATTTCATAAAGATGCTTTATTTTTCTTGGTTTATCATATGCAGCCTCTTTTAATATTTTGTTTATTTTATTGCTTTTATAAATCAGTCATAATCAACAAAATTTGCCATTTTGACCAAAAAAAAATAACACAACATAAAATTCTTTCTACAAAATAATGACAATTAAATAAAAACATTTATTTAAAATTTAACATTTAGTGAAATGTTAAATTTCACTAAATGAAATTTAGTGAAATTTCTGGTGTCAGAAATAGTACAGAAGTCCTTGTTTTAACTAAGCACTTCAAATCAGTGCTTAGTTGATGCACCTTTGACACAGAGTCTGTGTGGATCTGTCTTAATCAGCCCTGCAAATCTGGAATTAATTGTTTTTTCCCCCAGAAATTAGTTTTCACTTTGACATTAAATTAAAAAAAAAAAAAAAAAAAAAAATTTAAAAAAACCCCCCAAATTTTATTGACCATGACTGATTTATTGACATCCAGAGGGGTGATCCTGTAAATTCCCTCACGAGACACCAAAGTTTGCAAATATAAGGCAACAAAATATGACAAGGTTGATGAGATTTTAATACGTTCGCAAGAGATTGTAACTCTGGAAAGTAGCTTAAAAAAAAAAAAAAATCACATGTGTACCTGGAAGTTGGAAAGGACAGACACAAAGATGTAAATGACTTGTTTGTCATATATGTCTGGGATCCAGGGCATGAGGATGTATTGGACTCCCAGCAGAGGGATCAGGATGAGCGTGGCCCTCACCGCCTTCATGTAGGCAGTAGACTCAGCGCAGTGCGTCTTCCTCAGCTTGGTGATGAGGACTCGGATGACGTTCAGGAGAAAGAAAAGGTTTACCTGATTGGATGGACGGAAGACAATACAAGTGAAACGACAAAAAGATACAAGGCATTCATTGTAGAGGAACAACCTCTGTTGGATTATGTCCATTCTTGTAGAAATTTCTCCCAAACATCTGCTGATTGAACAAATAATAGGCCGGAAGGTCGATACACCAGCTAATGGACAAGGAAACTTCGTACAGCTCTGGTGTCAGAAATAGTACAGAAGTCCTTGTTTTTAACCCCTTCAGCAGTCAACCTTTCCAGAGGTTAGTACATGGCCCTGGGATTACATAATAAATAGTAATCCATCAAAACACAATATCACTTCAGTAAAAGTCAAGCTGCATTAAGCCCAGTGGTCCAGATGATGTCTGCCCATTGTTTCATTGAATTTTTTTGATTTGGAAAAAGATAGAAAACCTATTGAAATGCCCAAATCATTTTCCATCAATTTCAAACAAAAGTCGCATAGCTCCAACACTTTCTGACCAGTGTTTATATGATAAAACAAGTAAAGGAAATGCCTGATAATATGTAGAAAAAACACTAATAACTACTTACAAAGAGTGCAGCATGAATGGGCCCATGAATGATGTAGACGAGGTGGGAGTTTGCACTGATCCAACACCTGGAGAAAATAGAGCTAGCATTTTAGGTAAAGCTCAGCAGCTTTGATACGTTTACAGAAAAGGCCGTTCTGTCAGCTCAGATAAGGGCTGTAGAACCCAACTAACACAAATACAAAAATACTTAATTGTTCTCAAAAGGAGATTAATGTTGTAACTCTTATTACACTGAACAAAAATATAAATCCCCCATGTCAAACAAGAGTTTTATGAACATTTGGGTTATGCAATATATAGAAAAACTCAAAGTATACTTTCAGCAATTACTGATCTTCATATTGGCATTGCTAACATCTCGGTATGGCCATTTGTAGCGGATTGACAATCCTTTGAACATGATAGAGGTCAGGTTGAGGAATTTGCAGAGCATGCAGGTTGGCTTCTCATTACGAACAGTCTGAGATGTGATGCATCTGTTGTGCAGACCAATAGTCTCATCAGCTGTGTGTATTGCTGGTCATATCCAATCTCGCAGATGGACAAGCCAGATGTGGTGATCTTGTGCTGGAGTGGTCACATGTGGCCGACGAGGATGAGGTCGATTTGCAGTAGTGGCAACAATATTTGACATTGAGCATTTATATTTTTGTTCAGTGTAATTCAGATTCTTCAGAGTTATTGTAGATGATGGTTGTTGGCAGGAAAGATCTCCTGTAGCAGTCTGTATTACAGATAATCTGAAGAAGCCTCTGACTGAAGACACTGTTTTCTAAAGACAATCATGACCATGATGAGCATGGCCATACTCTTCATGAGACTGAGTAAAATCGTGATCATGATTTTATTCATTTTTTACTATTGTAGTTACTGAAGTAGAGGTTACATTCTATACCAATGATCAACTTTAGCTGTTATGAAAAGGAACATTTCTTTTGATTAGATGTAAGCTTTAATAAATAAAAATGAATAAAAAAAAAACCAGCAAGCACAAGACACCCAACATGCCACCTTTTATGCATTTATTAGAATGATATCTGTGAAAACTATTTGAGATTTATTTTGAAAAACCTGGAGTGAGTTGGCCTAAATACAACCAGGAGGATAAATTCAGGTTGATCATAATTCAGTCAATACAATGAAACAGACCACAGGAAGAAAAGTACACTCACGTGTCATTAAAGTAGAATCCACGAGCAAGAGCATATGTAATGGCAGGAAAGATGGGAAAAACTATGAACACAGAAAAAAAACCCACAAACATAAGAAATATCATCCCACCAATCCCTGTAGAAGATGCTGGAAGTTATAATAACTCAGGTTAGTTACTCAGTAGCTTAATGTAGAATAAAAAGTAAAGAGGAAATTCTGAGCCTTTCAAAACATTCACTTTACTGTTCTATAAGTTAGTGTCTCGGTTTCTATTTTGGCAGTTACACAAGTGAGAATTGAGTTAAACAAATCAGATAAATGAAGTCGATTTCCATGTGCATTGATCTCAAAAGCTGGTTAAAAGGACAAACACACATTGCTTTTTATTCAGCTCAATAACATAGCCCAAGCATTTAAAAAGCAACAGTCACATGAAGGGAAAACTGTTAAGTGTGGAACCAGAGAGCCTCATCTGAAGAGACACTTACACAAGGAGAGGCATACTCGACCAGCAAAGTTACATCTTTGTGCTGAATGATGTTGAAAATGTATGCTCTTGATGCACCAAAGGTAGTCCAGGTCTTTATGTATAATAACTGCTAATGTAAATGCTGGTGTGAAATACCAGGTTTGGGTGGTATAAAACATTTATATCACCCAACATCCATGTTGCTTGTATTCATCTTCATGGCTCCCAAGTCTGTTCCTGCCACTGCTTTAATCTCTCACTGCTGTCAGTCAAGTAGGATGGAAAACACTGAATCTCCTTACAGATGTGATGTTAGATAAATGTTTAAATAAAATTTACTTTTAAGTTTCTCTTCTATCATTCTTCATCACATCCTGCTAAGTGAATGCTAAACTTTCCCTTAAGTTTCAGTTTAGCTAAATGGTGTTCCTAAATCCTTACAGGCTGACAAGATGATTCTCTTAACTGTTTCAGGAAAGCTTAACTTATTTAATTTATAGGTAGTCTTGAATTAGGTGTGAGTTTTTTGTTTAGTTTTTTTTTTTTTTTAGTTTTCAGTGTTTAGTTTTCTCATCAGTTATGAATTGATGTTTGAAAAGTCTTGAGAAGGATTTGAACAGTAATTCCTTTGTGAACAGGCCGAGGAGAGCAGCTGCCAGAAAGAAAATAGAGACCAGGACAGTCTCCAGAACAGAGCTGGTGTTCAACTTGTTCAGCTTCTTTCTGAGGCTGCAGATGACTAAGGAAGAGATTACGTTTTCCACAGATTAATGGACATGTTGATCAGTGAAGATCAACATGCTTCACTGTTGTATCTCCAGGCCAGTTTGTTGTAGGTGCATATGGAGGTGTTTTGGTTTGTTCACTTTCAGCATACGACGATTGTTCCCAAACCATGGCACAAAGCGGTACACAGCTTTCTCTGTTCTTAGCGTCTTAGCCATCTCTGATCCACCCGACGACTGCCGAGGAGTCATCTGAGTATTTCTGCAGACGACAGGTGTCTGTCTTGTCTGTCTTCTTTGTACTGGAAGTCTGAAGTGAACTCTCTCCATTCCTTTTGCATCAGGAGCACCTTTAAATCTTCAGAGGTTGTATATTTTAAATTCTGTAAATGGAGTCCTATTGAAATAATTAATTTCTATTCAGTCTAGTGTCATTCATTCTATTTTATTAATGTCCCAATCCAATCCTAAGAATCAGATTGGGGTTCTGATTAAGGGATGTTTTAATAATCGATATCAGAGTCCCTGACTCCACTCACTCTGTTGTTGCTCTACTGTTTGTAATTATGTTAGCCACTCCCCCAGTGAGCCACGTGGCTAGCATTTAGCATAGCTAGTTATATCAGTCATGTGTGTAGCTTGCAAAACCTTGTCTTACTTCATGTAATCCTTGGTGCTTTGATAACGGAGTGGGGTGTTTAAGTATAGAAACATGTTAGCTTGACAAACTGCTGTGACAGGTTGAGTCATGGTTGGGGCTCCACCGCACCATCTTAGCCAATCGACCCCTTCCTGCTCATCCTGTTCAACATGTGCTCATTTAAAAGGCAAGAGTGGTGAAACACCTCCCTCTGTTATCGAAGAACCAGAGACTAAATTCATCAACCCATTTCTTTCTAATGTCGCTCAATGGTTCACTATGGGAGAAATGGCAGTCATCCTGATCCCGGCATCAAGTAGGTTCCGAAGGCAATTAAACCTCTAAGAAAGGTGGATGGAAAGCCTGTACTTCCACAGATTAACATCTATTAGACAGTAAGACTATCGCTTTAGACACTAAGCAGCACTGGGCCTCAAACACACTATAGTGGCCCCAGGGAGCCAATGTAAACTGATGGAGATCACAGGCATTCACCCTCTTAGCTATGGTCAAGACTGGGAGCAGAACAGAAAGAGTGTTCAAGGAAATACCTTCAACAGGTCCAGATAAACTCTTATAGTTGTAAAAGCCTTTCTTCCTTTTCTAACAGTCACTGTAGAAAGTAAAGCACCTCAACCAGAAAACACCCAAGAGAAACACACTGCTCTCACACCATTCCCCAGAAACCACTTGGGTTGAATTTCTTCTGGAGAAGGACTTGCAGTAAATAAATTCCTTTTTACCCAGGTCATGTCAAGAGAGACAAATAATCCTCAATCTCTTCCTGGGACAGAAGGTTCCTTTGGAAATAATCCTGTAAAAACAGGATTATTTCCAGATAATCCTTAACCTGCCCATACAGCAGGTTACTGAGCCTACTGTTGACAGTTCCCTGATGGTTGATGTGATCTATCACTCTGGAGTTTTCCATCTTCACTAGTTTCCAGACATTTATGTGAACCAATCAGGAACCCTGGATGCTGGATGGTACCAACTCCAGGGTGTTCCGTTTTTGTTTTGTTGGTTTTTTGATAGAGTTTTTCTGCTCTTGGCATCATGGATGAGTCCAAAAACCTTTTTATTTTTGCTGATTCTCCTGAATTAGGTGTGCTAAGGCACAGACAAATGTACTGCAAGACTTACCAAGTGTTCTGGAGTGTGTGACAGCAATTTAGAAGAGCAAGATGGCAGCTTTTTCTGCTTTATCATCCTCTTATTATAAACATGAGATGGAAAACTTACAAGGACTGCTGGTAAACTTAAAAACCAAAGAGGATTTGATCGCCAAGCAGTGATGTTCAAACACCTCACAACATATCAATGGACTTCAAGCTAATAGCCAGAAGACAAAGTGAGAAGGTAAGGTTGCCCACTTTTTGTCATTTGAGATAAAACTATGAAGGCTGGTGTAAAAATGGGATCCTCAGACGGTTATTCATGCTTTTATTTCCTTTTGACTAGACTATTGTAACACACTTTTCACATGAATCAGCAAAAACAAGCTCTTGATCGCCTTTGTTTGGCCCAAAACTCTGCAGCAGTGTTTTAACAGGATCAAACAGAAAAGCTCACATCACTATTTACAGTGATGTAAGTGATTCATTTTTATGGTCCTGCATGGTCAAGGTCCTTCCTTTAAAACAGAATTATAAAAGCCACTAAAATGAGCCCTCTGGTCATCAAACCAAAATTTAAACATAGTTCCTCGAAGCTGATGTAAAACTTTTCAGACTATTGAACTTCGACTATGGAGATAACTTTATTTGTATGTAGGTTGTCTTTATAGTCTGAAATAACTTGAAATGCATCTAAATACATTCTTATTCAAGCACATTCTGCCTTAAATCCTTTGGAATGTAAAATGTAGTTTAAAAAAAACTCACAACTTCCTTCAGTCTCCCAGCAATCAGCATAGTCAAGTCCAGTGCACAAATTAGAAACATGCAATGCTTCTGCCCTTCTTAAAGCCTTGATTAGCAATCAATTATATAAGGTAGCTGTCTGTGACATCTTGCATTTAATGCAAAGAAGTGGATATGAAACAGCTGTAGATAACCAGAACTTCCAGACTTACCCCATCCCAGGACATAGTACCAAAACAGCTGCTGCTCCCCCACAAAGACGGCCACTATGATAAGTGTGTGGAGATAGATGCCCTCACACAGCATCCAGAAGTAGTTGGAGGTAGCGGTATACTGAACTAACGTAGCTAGAATCTTGCAGCTGACCTGATGGTAAGAAATTCAAAAGTTTTTTCACTGATAGAAAACACAAATCCACAGAAATCAGTGCAAGTACAACAGAAATCTATGAATTAGCACCTCTTCTGCAAACAGCAATAAGTCCAGCTTAAATAATGTATGTAACTATGTTTTTTTCTAATCAATTAAAGTCAAATTCTTAGGTGTAATGAAATGAAGCAATTCATCAACTCACAGGGTTGATGGCACTTATGGTTTGACTACCACAGGAGGTCATTGAAAGCCACCCCATGGTAAACACAGAGTTAAAGATGAAAGAGATGAACATGTTTTTGTGGAGAGAGATCCTCTGACAGCTAAGACTTCTGAAGAAGAAAAACATATTACAGAGAAGATAAAACCAATCAGATTAGTTATGTTTTTAAAGATATAAAAATATGTCTTTAAAAATCGAAATTTTTCTCTGTGACATTTATTTAGTCGTTTAAAGTCATTAAAACAAGAATACTCAACAAATACACATTAAATTGGATCAGACAATTAGACTCACTTTAAATAGGAGAAGATGACCAAACTGACGATTAAAGAAACGATGGATATACCATGACCAGCCATAGCCAGGTAATAGAGACTGAGTGTAAACTGCAAGACAACATAAAGGTTTGGTCATAGTTAGTACACAGCTGCACAACATAACGTTTAACCTAGCAACAAGACAAAAAAAGCATGGGTTTAGCTGGGGGAGTTTGCATAGTCTCTATTATAATATGTTAGTAGGACCATCAAATTTACAGTGTCTCATCTGGAGTCATGAATGTAGATGGATTAATATAGTTTCAACCAGTGGCGGTTTCTGATATGGGCAACATGGGCTACCGCCCAAGGCACAACAGGCTTTACCTTGAGTTTATCTTTACTGTGGGCAGAACACAGTGTGTAGTTGCTCCAGACTCTCTTACTCTCTGGATGGTGGAACCACTGGCCATCAGGATTGCAAATTTTGGTAACTGTTTCTGTTGTAAGAAATGAGGAAAAACTCAGTCAACAGCAATGTGCACTCAAAGTAGTTATTGCTTTTCCAGGAAGCATGATACCCATATAATTAAGATAAATGCAAAACAAAACAAGCTTTAATACACATGTATGCAAAGCTTTTGAAGGCCTTACCACTGGGGTCAAAGTCTATAAAGTACGAAGGACACATCTGCATGGAAGTCCCGGGCGGAGAGTCGTCCCAACACATCCAACCGTCCCACGTACGGTTACAGAAAGGGCCTGCAGAGAACAAGACATCGAGAACTGAAACAACAGTGTTCTATAGTCAGAACAGTGGCTTTTTAAATAAAAATAACGGCATTGTATGAAAAACAACCTAAACACATGGAAAACATTAAGTGAAAAGAACAATAACTGACAGATTAAAGGCTCAAAACCACAGTGATGCAGAAATGCATCACTGTAGACATTTTAGTACAGTGAAGACAGTCAACATTTATTTGTCCAGTCATTTTTAAGGTAATCTCTTTTTAATTTTTTAACGGTAACGGCGGCGCACTAGATGCAGTGGCTTGGCACTTTTCCTGCGTCTCGGTGGTATTAACTTGGACCATTTCACTTTATGTTGGGCGAACCACCTCTTGCCTAAACATGAACCACCGTTACAGTAAGCATGTTCTTCTGAAGATCGGTCTTTGCTGCGAACGGAGTGTTACAGCTGATTTTTTACACTCTCATAACATCCCGGAGGACATAGCAAGAACTCCCGGCTCTCCATGGAGTACCACTCCAGATTCAAAGGCGCACAGACGGCGCAAAGAAAGAAAACAGAAGAGAGGCTGCAGAGCCGGAGTTTTGGTGAGACTACGAAGACGGCCTCATAAAGCTCCGCTTCCCAGCATTCTCCTCACTAACGCCAGATCCCTTGTCAACAAAATAGACAAACTAAGGCTCCTGACCTTTACAGACCGAACTGTCGGGGACAGCTGCGTAGTCATGATTACAGAATCCTGGCTTCATCCAGGAATCACAGACTCAGCCATTGAGCAAATAGGCTATACTACACGGCGTTTTGATAGGACCGCGGACTCTGGTCAGAGCAGAGGGGGAGGAGTCGGTGTGTATATCAACAACACCTGGTGTACAGACACTGACTGTGGACAGCCAGTTCACCTCCGACTTGGAGTATATGACTCTGAAATGCAGACCTTTCTACCTTCCTAGTGTAATAATGATCACTGTCGTTTACATTCCACCCTCTGCCAATGCAAATTCGCCCCTCAGAATACTGTATAAGAGCATTAATAACCAACAGAGTTATTATGCTGTCCAGATGCAGTTTTCATTATTGCTGGAGATTTTAATCATGTCAACTTAAAGGTAGTGCTCCCCAAATTCCATCAACATGTAAAGTGTGCTACCAGAGGACTCAATACATTGGATAAGGTCTACTCTAACATCAAATTGTGTTATAGAACAGAACCAAGCAGTTACTTCACCTGATGCAGTCTGACCACGTCACTGTTTTTGATTCCTGCATATACCACCCTGAGGAAATCTGAACGTTCCACCATAAGAACCATCACTAGCTGACCTGTCGATGCCTCTCAGCAACTACAGGACTGTTTTGGAAAAACAAACTGGGATATTTTTGAACATACAGACCTGGAATTATTCACTGACAGCGTTCTTTGTGACATCAAAACCTGCACTGACGTTACAGTGAAAAAAAACGTATCAAGATCTTCCCAAACAGAAAGTCATGTATGACCAGAGAAGTCCAGCAGCTGCTTAAAGAAATGCTGCTTTCAAGTCTGGGGACAAGGACCTCTACAGCTTGGCACAGAGCAACCTAAAAAGAGGAATCAAGAAAGCTAAAAGGGACTACACGGAGAAGACTGAAGAGCATTTGGACAACAACAACAACAGACAGGTTTGGTTGGGAATCCAGCACATTAGCAACTACAGAACCAACCATGGAACAGCCAAAGGTGACATCTCACAAGCAGAAAAGTTGAACCACTTCTTTGCTCGTTTCAAGTCTGAGCCTCCAATGACAACTGTCTCTAATCAAGAAGTGCAACTAAGCACCTCTATCTTCCAGGTGGAGGAATTAGAAGTGAGACACTCGCTACAATCCGTCAACCGCAGAAAGGCAGCAGGACCTGATGGTGTTCCTGGACGTGTGCTGAGTAACTGTGCAGAGCAGTTGGCTGGAGTCTTTACAAAAATATTTAATCAGTCCCTTTCTCAAGCCAGAATCCCATCCTGCCTGAAATCCTCCATCATTGTTCCCATTCCTAAAAAATCACCCATCACCTGCCTGAACGACTACCGACCAGTGGCTCTCACACCATTGGTGATGAAATGCTTTGAAAGACTGGTTCAGAGTCATATTCAATTATTCATTCCTCACACCTTTGACACACACCAGTTTGCTTACAGAGCTAACAGATCAACTGAAGATGCTGTTGCCACTGTCCTGCACGATGTCTTGTCCCACCTGGAGCATCAAGATAGCTACACACGTATCCCTCTTCATCAGTGTTGTATAAAGTACTGAAATCTCAGAGTCAAGTAAAAGTATAGGTACCGCTCCAAAATATGACTTTGGAAAAAGTCCAAGTCACTGACTGAAATGTTACTTGAGTTAAAGTCTTAAAGTATCTGAAAAGTATGGAAATTACTGTAAAAATGGATGTACTCAAGTAATGTAATGAAAAGTATAAGTAAAAAGTAAAACAAGGCAAATGCAGTTTGAATGATATTTTTTATATTGGTCATTATGCAAAAGAAAAGAATTGGGAGGG